ATTTATTTGATTGTAGTTTTTCTATTTTGATTATGTTTATTTTCTATTATTTTTTTTGTTGGGTTATCCTACACAACATATTTAAAAGATAACATAATTTTGAACATTTGATATGTAATTATGATAGACTTATCATGATATGTTCTTCATATGAAAGTAATTTATCCATATTACTACGACAAGAATTACATATGACATATACGAAAATATATATATTATATGTGATTTGTTTAACATGTATATGCACCTATGTATGTTATAAATTTATAATTAAATATCTTTATGTTTAATAATTGAAGGGGTTAAAATGATGCATCAAAACCAATTATTTAGACGAATATAATATAATAATAATAATAATAATAATAATAATAATAATAATAATATATATTTCCAAGTACCGCATACATTTGAAACCAACACTACAACTCAAAGAGTTTTCTAATTTATGTATATTAATTAGTTACAACTCAAGAGTTTTTAACTTATGATTATTAATTAGTAATCACTAATAACCTTTTATTTTCCTTTTTTTTATAAGGTTGTAAAGTTTTGCTCATTAAAAACATTAATGTATTTGAAAAGATTTGTGATTTAAATATGAAGAGTTAATATAAATGTTATAATAGATGTTTTAGTGTTTTTATGTTATTAAAAGTTTTAGTGTTTATTTTTCATATTTTTTATTATTCGTTGTATATATATCTTTTGTAATACAAATGTTATAATAGATGTTTTTCTATTTTTATGTTACTAAAAGTTGCAGTTCATATTTTTGTTCATACGTTTTGTTACCCGTTATATTATCATTCATTTGATATATAATTTATATAATTTTAAACGGTTTATAAAATTATTAAATAATTGTATATATCACAATGACTTAAAAATTAAACTATAATGTTTTAAATAATTGTATATATCACAATGACTTAAAAATTAAACTATAATGTTTAATAAAACCAATATGTTAACTATATGTTTGCTTTACTACTAAGATTTTGTTTCAAAGTAACAATATTAAATAATAATTTTGTAAAATTTATTATTTTAACTATTTGATTCTATTCTCGCGCAACGCGCGGGGATTCGCCTAATATATCTTATAAAATGAAGCATTTTTCCTTGATTCTTATGCATTTGAAACCCCCTAATTTAATTTCCTTGATTCTTATGCATTTGAAACCCCCTAATTTAATTAATACCACTCAAAAGACTTTTTAATAATGATTATTAATTGGTTTTTTAATGTAAAAATAACATGAACAACATCAAACTTCACAAGACCAAGTATAAATACGGTGAATAATAGGAACATTTTTGTCATATTTTGCAAGGATTAAAGACCTTTAAAGAAGGAAAAAAGACTTTTATATGTATATTACTTTTCATATAAATTTCAATAATTTTTTTTTTGTTTTTACCAACTGATGGTTGCTTCCGGTATGTCACATGTTATATTCGGGGTAGAAACTTTTGCATAAAGATGCACCTAATTCCATTCACTACAGGTACTAAATTAATATTTGACTCATGCAAACACAAACAAATCTTGTTGATCATTTTAAATTCTTTGAATAGATTCGGTTTTCATCATCATTCCTTCAACAATGGAAATTATTTCTAACTTCACTATTTGACTCTTCCATATGTATCCATGCGTGTAAGAATTTTTATTTTTCTTAAGATTTTTTGTTAAAACCATTTTAATATTTAAGAATATAAAAAAAGATGGAAAACAATGAAATATTCATCATTGGCATCATAAGGTGGATTTATTGAACCCAAGAAGATATTGGAAAATTTGAAGTCATATTAGCAAATGTATTGCTACATATAAATTGTTTTACATGTCAATTGGTCTTAGTTTTCATTAAAGTCATGATTTCCTATTTGATCCTATAAAATATCGCATGTGAACTAAAGGCATGTCATGCATATTTTAATGTTGTACTGGTACAACCGATACCAATGAGTTGCCATGCTCATTTTCAAGTCATGAGAAGGTAATCCTTTTAGCTTTAATTTTTTTTTATATATACATTTAGTCTCAACCAAGCATTTTTGTGGCAAGGGTGTGTTTGTATTAGTCTCTAATAGAAATTAGATGTTGGTATCCAAACTATGCCTATGTGGTTTTAGTTTGTCGATGTTGGAATATGAAAATTAATATGATGCATCGATATGCATTTGACAAATAATAAGTAGATCGCTTTATTTACTTAGTTGATATTAATGGATATAAATGTCAATTTGTGCATTTGTAGTTGCGTAATCTGGATTAAAGCATAGCAATAGAGGTGTGTGGTGATAAACAAACATAGGTTTCGTAGTATTTATTGGATGTTTTGGCTTTGGTAGAAAAGAACCCATCAAATACAAAAGAAAAAAAACATTAATATATTTCTAAAAATGAAAACGTTGTATTTTGAATAACATGTAATATTAGGGTAAAATATGAAAGGTGTTATGATATAAATATCAATAATATATATTAATTTTAATATTTATTTGTCAAAATTTTAAGTACATAATTTTACGTTACGCAACGCGCGGCTATTCGCCTAGTATACTTATAAATGAAGCATTTTTCCTTTCACCACATTCATTTTTCTTTTCACCACATTCATTTGAAACTCCCATGACTTTTCAATTTCTTTCTAATAATGATTATAAGTTGGTTAATAAGATTAAATAAATATCAAACCTAAAGTGTAATCATATATAAACTAAATTTCAATATTAAAAGAATATATTTACTTCTACATATAAAGTTATGTTTTTTAACATTTAACATATTATACTTAGTTTATTAGTTTTAATATATTGTTGGATGTAAACCATTATCATTTTAAAGCTACAACTTTTGAATAATTTGTATAAAATACTTCAATTATTAATTTAAATATAACATTACAAAGTCAACTTAAATATAAATTTTGGTTTAACTTAAACATCGCAAAAAATATTTTGTAAATAGTTAAAAATGATAAACTGTAGTGTCTTTCTAATAATGATTATAAGTTGGTTAATAAGGTTAAATAAATAACAAACCTAAAGTGTAATTATAAATAAACGAAATTTCAATTTTAAAATAATATTTTTACTTCTACTTATAAAGTTATGTCTTTAACTTTTAACATATAATACTTAATTTATTAGATTTAATATGTTGTTGTATGTAAACCATTATCAATTTAAAGCTACAACTTTTGAACAGTTTGGAAAAATACTTAAATTGTTAATTTAAATATAAAATTACAATGTCAACTTAAAAATAAATTTCAGTTCCACTTAAAAAACCCAATGAATATTTTGTGAATAGTTAAAAGAGATAAATTGTAGTGATAAATACAAAAACTAAATTATAATCTCAATTTAACTAAAATATTTCCTAAAGATATTTGTATAATCGTTAAAAGTTTTCAAATAAATAGTTTAAAATAACTTACAATAAAAATAGTTAAAAATAACTTTATATAAATGATTATATTGTTACCTTTAAAATCAAAAAACAATGTTTGATGTTTTAAATAATTATAATGATAGAAATTAAAACGTTAAACAAATAAATTTTAAAAAATTAAGTAACAATAACAACAACTATAAATAACATTAAACCATATATTATATTTAATTTTTTTCATGAGTAACTCGCGGGTAGAAGTCATTCAAACTATTGAGATTATGTAGTTATAATAGATATATATATATATATATATATATATATATATATATATATATATATATATATATATATATATATATTATCATATAATTCAAAATAATCAATATATTATATCAATTTAGTATACGAATTATTATATCAAATTTAACAACAACGTTATTGTTATATTTAAAAAAACATATATTATAAAGATTTCAACTATATAGGTTTCTGCACAACGCGCGGACATTCGCCTAGTATATATATATATATATATATATATATATAATATATATATATATATATATATATATATATATATATATATATATATATATATAAACTAGTCTGTTTTAATAGTTAAGACAACAAAATCACCCTATTTTAAGTAAATAAATATGGTACAACAAAAGCCATTATGGCATATAAATATTGGGCCGGGTCACCCTCTAAGTATTTATCAATTATCAAAATTTTCAAAGGGAAGTCATCAACCACACCGCCCTGTCCCGCATAACCTTTTTGAATTAATTTCAGAAATCAATTCTCGGTTGGTGGCCATCCATCTATATTCTATACATTAATACATATGCAATTCTTCAAAAAAAAAAAGCGCTTTTACCTTTCAAAAGGAACAACTTTTTAATCCTAAGTTATAAAAAGGTCAAAGAAGCAATGGGAAAAGAATGAATAACCGGATTTTATGTTTACAGCGACAATTCACGAGATTATAAATGAAATAAATGGATGAAAACTCATATAAAATCCTAAGGGATTTAAGACAAGTTATGAAGTTTGCAGCTACCCCACGAAAAGGTATAGCCAACATAATTAAAATTCCCTCAAAATTTCAAGTTATTTCAGATTTTATTTTACTTTGGATTTACTGTAAATCAAGTAAAATCAATAAGTTTTTGTCAATCGAAATATACCATCACATGTACCTAAATCTCTACTATTTTATAGCATTTTTTAACGGCTGAATGCAATAAAAAACAAATTAGCAAAAAGCTAGCAAAGCAAAAACAATTAGTTTATGAGATCCACTTATTCCCATTCCTTCTAGATTTGTGATTTTTATCCAATTGAACAAAAACTAAATAATTGAATCAAATAAAAACTCTTTCTTATACTTATTGGTTTCGAAAAGAAGTGTATTTCTATACATCCATAACACCCATATCAAAGTAAAGCAAACCGAGTCCATAGTGACCCTATGCAACCTCGCAGTTGACATGCCATCAATCCACTGCATCAAATCGGAAATAGAGGAGAAATTCACATGTTCACCCAAGGCGCCAATTTTAGCCAAAGTTGTCGAACTAACATATAATTAAGGAACAAACGATTCACATCCTCTGTCTCCTGCTGACACGACGGACACAGAAGAGAATCAAGCTATATGTCTCTTTTATCCAAATTACTCATCGTAGGAAGTCTATCCAACATCAATCTCCAAATAAAAATATTAATTTTAATTGGAAGGAACTCATACCACCTACATGAAGTTTCAAACGATCCAAGTCCATACGTGCCTCCATGACCACAAACATCTCTTCAAACATCTTTTCAGACCCAATCGACCAACACTATTTTATAGTGTTAAAAAATATATAGAATAATATATGTCGGGATAATTACAAGAATGCCCATTTTAATATTTAATATTTATAGTGTGACATTTAAAGAACTAACCATTTTTTTATTGAACACCGGTTTGCAACTGGTTATTTGTGAAATTTCAAAAGAAAAATCGAAATTGCTTCCTATCATAATAAGAAAATCTAAAGAAAAAACTTATTTCGAAATAACTTATTTCTTTAATTTTTTTTAGGTTTTTTTTGTGATGGGAATCAATTTGTTTTTTTTTTTTAATATGAAATTGATTGTCTTTTTGTGATTAGCAAAAAAAACATGGTAATTTTGTTAAATATCATATTTTATCCCTTATATTTTTCTCCAAAATGAAATTTACATTTTTTGTGCTCTTTTGTCAATCGTTAATTTTTGTTCTACAAGACAAGCCAAATCATGAGCGTTGGCTTCAGAAGTTGAGATGTGAATGTGATACATGGCCCATACATACTCAAGCTTTGTGTCTATATAAAAAAAGGCAACCACAACTAATAAAATATCTAATGATTCTAATCTAATATCTCAAACCAAATATCTTTATGTATAATAGAACTTCCAATTTCTTGAAACTCTTACCAACCAAAATGCATGTCGGTTGATTTTCGTGTTTTAGACCGATTTATAGGTTCACGTCCATGTTTGGCTCCGAGCATTCAATACTCATGTTGACAAATGCCTCCATTACATGTTTTATAATATCATTTGAATGGATTTTTAATTAAAGAAGCCTAAAATATACTTTTTTAAATCGACACTAAAATATCCAATCCAACAAAATAAAATCTCATCTTTTGAAATGTAACTGAGAGACCTTTGTAACCAAAACATAAATAAAAACAAGGATACTATACTCAAAGGTCATAAAAATTAAAAAGTTCTCAAAATTTTCTAAATAGGAGACCTTATAATAATATAAAATCAAACAAGACCAGTTCAATTTTCAATTGATGCCACTTATATAGAATCCGTCAAAGTAGAAAGATAAAAAGAAAATTCAAAATTATAAGTTAATTAAGTTTCAAAAGAAAATACCCATTCAACTTTATCACTTATATCCAATCTGTCCAAATTTTTGCACGGGGACCATTTCTATAAGCTCTGTGAAACACAGGGACCATTTCTGTTATTTTCCTATTAGGCCATAGGCGGGGACTATTTATGTAATTTTGTGAAACACATCACCATTTCTGCAATTCTGCTATTAGGAAGGGACCACTTCTGAAATTTTGTGGAATGCAAAGACCATTTCTGTATTTTTGTGAAACTCAAGGACCATTTCTGCAATTGTGTGAAACATAGGGACCATTTTGTGAAATATAGTAATTCTTGAAAGTTGAAACTCATCATAGAATAGAAACCCTATTATTTTCAAAACTTTTAACAACTGTAAGTCTGTAAGTACTAAAGTACCCCTTAAATGTTGTTATCCAAGTATACACGAAAGTCTAAACTAACCCATGAAGACACAATGTATCAATGCAGTTTCTTATTCTAAGGCATCAAGCTATATGTTTTATAGTGTAAGAAACATTTAAAGAAACGAAAAGACACTTTTGAAACCAAGAAAAGGATCTGTTACCTGTCTCTTTTCGGTTTCTGTTGCCAATGAGCATAATTGTCTGTTTGCTAGACTTGGAGACTTACGATGGTCCTCTCGGTGTTTCATAGGTTCCAAATCCAAAACGATTGACTTTGTATCTGCGAATAAGTCAAAATTAGTAACGGTTGACTTAGTGGTCAATGTCTTGATTTCATCAACTCGAGGGAAGCTTTTGGCTTTCTTTCTTATATGATCAAATATCGTCTCTCCAGTTAGTGTGTTGTTTTTACTGTTTCTGTTTGGCTCACTTGATTGAAATTCTTCTTCACATGGATTGGCTGAAAATTCTGAAGTGTCATTGAGTGCCAGGTGTCGCTCGCGTGTACGCTTTCTGATGAGACTTAATGTCTCTAGAGATGGAGGGCATTCAGTAGTTGGTGTGGTTGTAAAGGAAGGTAAGCTTTTGGCCTTTTCACGTATGTGATCGAAAACAGTTCTCTCATTAATGATTTTGCAATCATCATCATCATTATTATTCTCAATCTCAACAACAGGCTCACCTATAGAAACCATATTTAGTAATTAGTATGCACTGTTAACTTGATAAATTAACTACAAAAACGGATTTTCAAAAGTAAGGGATAATGATTTATGTGTGAATAAAATGTTCTTTTCATAATGTTTGTTCTTTTTTTTCTGGACTGAATAAACCGTCTAAATGAGTTAGTGTCTGAACACATTAAGTCATGTTTTTTTGGCTTAACTCATTAAGTCATACTGTCTACACTAAGTCAAAAGTAACAACCATATCCAGCTGTCAGATTAAGTGCTTAATCCATTAAGCTTATAAAGTCAAGTCTCAAAAATAAGTATGTCTGTGACAGTATTGGAAAGAAGGAAACATTACCTTCATCTGAATCTTCATCCAAGAGTTTGAAACTGGGTCTGCTCACCAAAAGGAAAAAAATTAATCAGTAAATGTAATAGCGTTAAGTGCAAAAAACAGCAATGTAATTTGATTGATTTGTTTATTATAGCATCTCACTTTCATTTCTTCCTATCAAAACATTGTACTTAGAATAATCTATCCAGTTATATCAATGTCATCCAAACACAACGGTTTTCACTGTTATAACTGAACTGGGTAGATTTTTCAATGTTTAATGTCCTAATAGAAAAATATTTTAAAAGTACAATGCCTTAGTTAAAAAAAAATTAAAATTCCAATGCTGTAATGAAAAGAAATGGAAGTAGGATGCTATAATACACAAAGAAATGAAAGTATGTTGCTATTTCTTGCATATAACCCAATGTAATACTGAAAGATTTATATGGTTAAGAGCATACATGGAAGCTTCTTCGTTTTTGGATTTTAACGACTTCTGAGACCTGCCAGCTGGGACTTTGGGTGAATAATTGTTTTCGGGGTCAATTATGCAGACATCAGTTGATGGAGGCAATGAGAGTTTTTTTGTTCCATGTTTATGATAGATATTTGAGCTAATATCCTTCATTAGTATAACCTTTTGGTGTAGGTCAATACCAACTGCATGAAATCAAATCAACACTGAAATGAGTGAAAATAGATCAAAGTCAGAAATAAGGAATTAAGAAGATGAAACTTCACTGAATTCTTCGAAGATTAGATCTGCCTTAACAGTTAGCTTCCCTTGCAAATGGCTTGTAACTAGTATTGTTGCACTGTATGGGCTGTGCACATAGATAATTACGTAATTATAAAAATAATAATTGTTGCAAATAAGTTAAGAATATATTTAAAAAAGGATTATTTGGTGGAAGGAAACGTCTTCAAAACCTTGTGAATTCTTCCACTCTGCAGAAACAAATTAGAAAACAGTAAGTCACTATTGCAACATAATGTATCAAAGATGCCTGAAGCATTATCATAGCAATCATATGAACATAACTTCTGTCCTTGTCTATGATAGCATCCTACTTTCATTCCTTTCTACTACAAAATTGTACTTTCAACTTTTCTTAGGGTCAAATGCGAGAAATAACAACATGCTTTCATTCATTAGTGTATTATAAGTTATAGCCTCCTACTTTCAAATCTTTCTGTTAAGACATTGTACTTTCAGTCTTTTCTTAATTCTTAAGAAGGTGCTGCACTTTGAGAAATCTCACCAAATATAGCATTGTACTTCCAAAAAATTTCTTATTAGGACATTGTACTTTCAACATATTATCCAATTATATTAGTGCAAATTGCTTTGTGTTTGAATGACAATGCTATAACTGGGTGGATTTTTCATAGTGCAATGTTGTAATAGGAAGAAATGAAAGTATGATGCTATAATAAACAAATCAATCAAAGTAGGTTGCTATATCTTGCATTTAACCCTTTTTCTTATTGAGACATTATAGCAGTGAAAATTGCTTAGTATTTGAATGGCATTGCTATAACCGGAGAGGTTTTTCAAAGTACAATGCTGTAACAGGAAGAAATTAGATTTAGATGCGAACAATAAACAAATCAATGAAAGTATATTGCTATTTATCGCTTTAAACCGTGGTTCAAATTCCAGTTTTATTACCTTATTTTCTCATGGAAAACTATCAAGTTATCCTCCTCTGTAGCAACAACCTGTGAAAACAAAAGTAGTGTTTAAAAAGTATTATATTCCAAAAATATGTTCCTAATCACATACCACATCAGCATAATGTCGTTTATTTGTTTGTGGTGACTCTGACAATCTGGTTAATGTCATAACCAGTTTTGACTTTCCATAATTTGGACATGTCATCTCCTCAACTTTCATATCTACTTTTGGTGGAAGTGACAACAATGATTCCTTAATGTGGTTTCCAAATGGGAACTTTCTACCAGTAACCATCTCTATTTTCCTTGGGTCTGCTTCAGAAAGGGTCTCAAATGACTTTACTCCCATAGATTGTAAGGCCTGAACAAAAAAAAAGGATTAATTGTGGTGTATACAAACTACAAAGGTTGAAATTGCAATTTTGTTGTATAGATTTTGAAATTTTAAAAAAGATAATTACCTTTGCTGTCACCATACCAATGCCTGGTAATTGTTTCAGAAGATATGGACTGTCTTCCCAGAGTTTTTGATGTAAAGATTTTGCTAAAAGGCTTGAATTCAAAGCTCCTTTGTAATTCTTTTTATATATAAAATACTCTTTCATGCATTTTGCAATCCGACACCCATTTGAACAAACGGAGTTCGTATCCTGTAGGCCATTTAATGTTATATGAAAGAGATAAAAAAAAAAAAAGTAAATTACATTTTGGTCCCTGAGTATAGCAGGTTTTATCCCAAAAGGTTTTCTCTTGCAATTTTGGTCCTTATTTGGGGTTTTTGGTCCATCTTTCAAGTAAAATGACTATATTTTTGGGAACAAAATTGCCAATAATCGGCTATACTCAAGGAAAAAAATTAGTCATTTTAATGGTAATAGGGACCAAAACTTTACAAGAACCTCAAGTAAGGACCATGAATGCAAGTAAAACCGTTGTGGGACCAAAATTGTAAAAATCAACTGTACTCAGTGACTAAAAATGTAATTTACACAAGATAAAAACTTCATAACTTTATAAAGAGTAAATTACATTTTTGGTCCCTGAGTATAGCTGATAATTGAAATTTTGATCCGAAAAGAGTTTTCTTGCAACTACGGTCCTTATTTGCGGTTCTTGTAACGTATATGGTCGATCCTCTTCCAAGTAAAATGAATATCTTTGGTCCCAGATTATAGCTGATTTTTGCAAATTTTGGTCCCAAAACAGTCATTTTACTTGGAACATGGACCAAACACGTTACAAAATCTCAAATAAGAGCCAAATTTGAAAAAATCAGCTATATTCCAGAACCAAAAATGTAAATTACTCCTTTAGAAATTTGAAAAATCAGACCTGGGTAAGAGATAAATCATGGACTGTAGGATCTCCAGTCAAACAATCATTTACCAAAATAAATAGCTTCTCTTCTCTGGTTTGTATGCGTTTTTTCTTCTTCCCTTTATCTCCAAGAACATGAAACCGAAGCCTACCATCTTTATCATTATTTATGTCATTCAGAAGCTTCTTCTCATTCCTCCTTAATTGTATCCCTTCATTCCAGGAAACAAAGTCAGCTGAGCTCCATCATATTATTTATTTGCATTTAATATAATCAGTTAAATAAATACATACAGGATATTTCCTCTGCACGACAAACAATATTAAGTGCATCTTCTATGCTGCAATTTGCAGGAGCTTTCATAATGTGTTTCATCGTGTCAAATTTCAAATAATACTTTGTCATCAACCTTCCAGGTTCTGCAGATACATGAAATATATACATCATATGTATATGTATGCATGGGGTATAATATATAATAGTTTTATAGAGTAAAGATACCAAGAGGCTTCAAGATAAAACCATCTTCCTCAGTCAAGATCATTTGGTAGTCTGATAACTCTTTGACTTTTTGAACACAGACCTCTGGAATATATATAAAATGAGTCAGAAACTGAGATAGATGCAAAGAATGTAAAACTTGTTTTTTGTACTGAAATACCTTGTATATGCTTCTCTATATAGATACCAGATAATTCTTTCTTTATTGCATAGTTTTGAGGGTTCTAACATAAAAATGGAGGTTTTAGAAATATACGAATAACAAAAAATAAGTTGACATTTGCTAGAGCATTATATTAACAACCTTTTTCATTCTCACATACAAATATGAGCATTTGATCCATTCTATTGCCCTTGTTATATCTGGAACAGTCAACTGAACCACCTCTGCAACTAGATGTTCAGTAACACAGGAAAGTAATCTGAACAGAAAATGGACAAGATACATAAAGTTTAGAGACTGTAAATCACTTGAAAATTAGCTAAAAGATCTTGTAAACTTACTGAGACTCAACCAATTCACATCCACCTAGTAGGTTCTCGTATAAATGGACCTAAATTCATATTTAAAAAAAAAAACATATCATCTATCAGAAAAGGTAGCACAACTAATATGTGTGTGTTTGTGTTTGTGACTTTGTGTATGTTTACCGTTTCTCTTCTTGTCATGATTATGACCATTCCAGTATCATCAAATGGTGGGCGCCCTGCCCTCCCACACATCTGCACAACCAAAAAGGGATGGCTATCAGTACATTATTAGTATGGGTAAAATGGCCATTTAGTCTCATTCAAACCTTACCTTTTAGGCTTTTACTTATTTGTTTTTTTTTTTTTACCTCCCAACTCCTCTCATGTTATAATTGATTAGTATTGTTAAATTGATGGATGTGGAATGTAGGGGTAAAATGGTCATTTAGTCTCATTCAAATGATTTCTTTAGTCTAGAGAAGAAACAAACCTTATGATTACTATTGTTAAATTGATGGATATTGTGAAATTTGTTTTTGGAATGTAAGGGATTTAGACGGTTTATTTAGTCTAGAAATGTCTGAAAAGATACAAACCTTATGTATACAACACTTTATCCAGATAAACATGATTACCCATTGAGCCAGTTTAACCATACATGACTTAATGCGGAAAAAGAAGTGGACAGATAAGTGGCAAACCTGAAGTATCATTGATCGATCATATTCCATGTAAGTTCCTTTCTCCTTGTTGCTGTTAAAAAGAAAAGAAAATAAGTATGGAAAGAGTTAAATGATAAGAAATGAACCCATTAAGAAAAGCAGGTGTAGACATACAAGTGTTGTGTTGATTTGATTATAACTGTATGTGCTGGTAGGTTAATTCCATGGGCAAGGGTGTTTGTGGTGCATAGAACTCGAAGATCACCATTGAGAAAGAGACCTTCAATCAGACTGCGATCCTTTGGGGAAAGTCCACCATTGTGATAACCAACTGAGCAATGAAAATTGTGCCAACTTTATGTAATCTAATTTTTTATTTTTTCCTTTGATTATAAATAAAGTAATTCACTCACTTACCACCATAAAGGATGTAAGATTGCATTTGTTTGTCACCACATGAGAGTGAAGCTTCCCTCAACCTTTCTTGCTGATCCATGCTTTTGATGAATGGGTTTGAATATCCATGGGTCATAACAGTCTGGGCCAGCCTTTGTGCTGCTTCTTGTGCCCCTTTTCTTGTAGAGCAAAATACCAGTGCAGATTTTCCACTAGAATATTGCATAAGGAGATCTGCATTTCAGTTTTTTTTTTTTTTTGCTAATTTAGGGTTTTGATTATCAAAAGTTATGAGCATAAGATCTTTGGAGATATATACTATATACTCACCAAAGATGTAGTTTTGAAGCCGCTGAATCACAGAAAGAAAGAAATGGAAAGGATTAGTGAGTTGTAAGTATTCATGTTATTTACAGTGAGATAGAACTGATCTTTAGAGAAAAGGTTGAGTACAGAGAAGTTTATAATACAAGAGCATGAAGCACTTGCCTTCTCAAAAAGGAAGTCATTTTTGGCTGGGGTGTAGCCTGCAAGGAAAAAAAAAGTTCCACATTAAGCAAAAGGGTTATATGCAAGGAACAATAAAGTACTTCTATAGATTTGTTTGTTATAGCATCCTACTTTCATTTTTTCCTATAAAAGCATTCTACTTGAAAAAATCTACCCAATTATAAAATTATATCCAAATACAAAGCAATGTTCATCGGTATACTTGGATGAAATTTTCAGAGTAGAATGCCCTAATAAGAATAAAACTGTAAGTACAATGCTATAATTGAGTAGATTTTTCAAAGTACAATGCGTTGACAAGAAAAAATTTGAAAGTACAATGCTGTGATATATAGAAATGTAAGTATGATGCTCTAATACACAAAATAAATTAAAAAAGCGTTGTTATTTCTTGCATTTAGCCCTTAAGCAAATGACCAACAAAAAAGACAGCTATGAAGTGTGGTGTAGCTTAACAAACAATCAGACCTGGATTTGTATTTGCATGAAATTTTAAATGGATTTAAAGCACTTAAGCAAACAAATCAAAGATAATATTTGATGAGAGTGATTACCAAAAACTTTAGTAGTCAGCTTTACAGGTCTCATTTCCTCACCAAACCTGTACAAATGGTAAAAAGCCATTCCATTAGTAAACTATAACACTCATTCATTGAATGATATCACATATACCTTTTGATTCCTTGGATAGGAACCATAAGCCATTCAGCTGCAGGAGTCAAACATGGTCAAAAGATTACAACAAAGTGTGACTAATTTGAAGGCATGATGGAGAAAGTAAATAACTTTACCAAGGTCATCAATATTGGGAATTGTTGCAGAAACAGCTAGGAAACGCACATGGGCCAATGGACTTGTTTCCATTTGAGGACTTCGACTAATCATTTTGATTCTACTAACAATTGCCTCTAAAGCTGCTCCACGAGGATCATTTAACAAATGAACTTCATCAATAAGTACTAGTGATATATCGCTAAAAAAACTTAGGCCACCATCTTTGATGCCAAATCTAGTCACTGCATCAAACTTCTGCAGATGAACATCTGTAAGTATTATGAAATATGATGGAAAAGGAAAGTACACAAGTAAATCTATATACAATTACAACCTCAGGAGTAGTCAATACGATATCTGCCTCTTGTATGCTCTTTATATTGTAAGATTCATTATCCCCAGTCAGCTCCAAGCAATTTATCCCCCATGACCCAAGCTTCTGATTCCAACTCCTGAACTTCTCTTGTACCAAAGCTTTGGATGGGGATATATATATCTTCACACCAAAAATCCAAATAAAATAAAGGGAAATAAAACCCTTGAGAATAACAAAATATATTAATGTAAAGGGTGAAGACAAGTAGACAACACATTCCCAAGATCTAAATTATAGCAGTGTTTGAATCAGTGTGAATTGCAATATACTTATGAAGTACTAATGGTGATACCATGACATTGGGCTGAAAAACTAAATGATTATTGTGGAAATAATTCAAGAGAAAGCAAAACTTGGTATGTAGCTTACTGTTTTTAGGGTTCCCTTCGTATGAATAAATCTTCCTTCTTGGGTAATGAACTTAGATAGAAGTCGTAAGATGCATAACTCAAAAAGCACCGTCTTCCCACTTCCAGTTGGTGCTGAAATAACCATGTTGATGTCAGAGTGGAAGCAAGCAGAAAAGCATTCACTCTGCAGCGAGTTGAAATACCTGTAATTATAAGGAATCGATGTCCATCAGATATAAAGGATGTCATTAGTAAACAGGAGAGATTATCACCAAATAGAGAACGAATAATTATTTTTGTGTTCATGGAGGTAGATATGGGGCGAGGTCTATAATCAACACTGAATTATCATACTACTACTTGCGATAACTAGTTAACTGGTGAGATCAACTTAATAGGTATCAGAAATTGTGCATCCATTCACTACTCTGAGTAATAGCTTGCGGTACCACACATAAATCACAGTTCCAGGCTAAAAGAGATCACACATCCAAACAACTAAATTCAAATGCAAAGTTCATTAATGTTGAAGGCATACCTGAAACTAAATGTTGCACGGAAAGGATCAGGTAGATCTGAGACAGACTTAAGTGAATACGAATCCATAGATGAGCTGATTTGCTATTGCACTGCAGCGGGCCAATGAACCAACAATCGTTATTGAATTGATTAAGATCACGGCTATATCATTGAAGGCACTTGACCTGATAGATAGGCATAAACATCAACAAAGTTTAAGCAGCTGCTCAGTCAAAAAAAATAAAGCAGCTTAAAATTGAGAAAAATTAGCTTGGAGTTAGCTTCTGAAAACTGCAGGTGTGTTATAGAGACTTGCACAATTATGTGATAATGCAGATTTGGCCTTGCTAACCGAACAAAATCTAGAAAAGTTGATGTTGATTTCAGATGCGTTTAATTATCAGAAGGAAATGGTATCTGACTGAAAAAGTCTCACGAAGAGCTTGTAATTTCTCTGAAGAGCTATTAAGCTCAATTATATTACTCTAGAACATAAAAAAAAACTACTAGCTCTTAGTGTTTATTTCTGAACAGTAAATATGTTTCTCCACATAACCAAAGCGATTCAAGTTTTCCTGAAAATTTATCGTATACTCTCCAGATTGATCCATTAAAAACTACGAACCAGTCAGATTTATGGAAATTCAAAAGCAAATTAGAAAATTTGAGAAGAATTTACATGAACAGGCAAAGGAAGAGCGAGATGATTCAATCATGAAAACTATGTGAATGAACGATCGTGTTTGTGTGTGTGTGTGTGTGTGTGTGTGTGTGAGAGAGAGAGAGAGAGAGAGAGAGAGAGAGAGAGAGACGAACGTTAAGGAAGAAGCTGAATAATTTTCGGACTCGGAGTAGGTGGAATTGAGTACTTTTGGCGGGAGACAGGTTTGCGTTAGCCGAATATGGAGGAATTGAAATGGTAGATTACACATAATAGTGTTTAAAGGATCGAGCATTAGTATTAGAAGGGTTAAAGAATTTAGATTCATTCGTTCACTCCTAAATGATAAAATTTGGTGAACTTGAGTAATATAACTGGATGCAGGAATATTGTCGGTTTGGGGCACTCCTTGATCATTTATATAGCGGGCACGGGTCAAAAATAGTTAGATGGGACTATAATGGTTACCTTGTCCTTTCTAGTTTAATCTTATCTGAAACTAATTTAAATTATGACCTTTACTTGTTGAACTAAGTATTAAAATACAACAAAACAAGACATAAGAAATCCCATTTTTAGCAGCGACACTTTTATATGTCGTCGCTAAAGGCTTCTAACCACGTTTCGTGTGAGAATTTTTGGACGAACCGTAACCGTTGATGAAACCTCTCGATCCAGTGGCTGGATAATGAGCCGATAGTCAACGGAAGGCAATAGCGGCGATGGCTTTCGTCGTTAATACCCCAAAAAATTTGACCGGGAGAAATTTTCTCCAAATTCATTAACCTATCGCCCTGAATACCTATCACGACTGTGTTCCTTTTTTATTCCAGTGGTGAAATTCCACCATCCACACCTTTCTGATTACCAGCGTTGGCGGCCACCATCCACACCTTCTTTTTGTTTATGTTTCTTATCTCTAAAACAAGACATAATATAAGTAACAGTTATGGACTAAATCTCTACGTATAAGTACAAAAATACAACAAAACAATGCGTAAGTAAAAAGATTTGTGAATTTCATTTCTTGCAAAACAAACACATAAAAAAAATCAATTTTTTTATTGATTTAGTAAATCACGTAGGTCTCTGTGTAATAAGTAGAAGATGTGAAGGGGTAAATTCTAATTTGATATGTGTTTCTTTTAATCTTTTCATACATGTAGTGCAAATTGACGTAGGGGAAAAATCAAAATAAAAAAAGACACATTATGTGTTATTAGTTTTAAGTTTAGCCCAAATTTAGAAATCTTAATTCTAAATATTTCGTTGGGGGCACGTGCCCCACTCGGCCACTCCTATAAGCTTAGCTCCGGTCCTAGTGACCAATATAATACTTTTTCCGTCCCAATATTATTGTCCACAGACAAAAAAACATACATATTAAGAAAAACATTAATTACCACTAATTTTATTTAATAAAATGACAGTTTTGTCCTTACTTTGCATTTAATGTTCCATTAAAAGCTTAGTTGGTTAAGTAATAATGAGGGGGGTATTTTGGTAAAAATGTTATTTATTTTTAGAAGTGGACTGTTATTTTGGAACAAACCAAAAATGAAAGATGGACTATAATTTTGGGACGGAGGGAGTAGTATTTTATTTTTTATTTTTTTAACAAAAACAACTATTATTATTTTATTTTGGTAAAATGATTACTTTGTCAGGAATAAGTTGTGGAGTCTGAGGTAGTGTTTGTTTTTTTGTCTGCAGATCTGCGTGGCCTCTTCTGTCTGCGCCGCGCAGACCACGCGCAGACATTAGCCTTCGCAGACTGTTTGTTTTTTTTGAAGACTGCAGACCTAAAAATGTTTGTGCGCCCTCTCCTTGACGCAGATGTAAACCAGAGTCTTCTAACATCTTCAGACATCTTCTAGCCTAAAAAAACATATATATCTTTATTTTTTTTAAGTTTTTTTTTAATTTATATTTTTTTCAACTTTATTAATGATAAACAATTTGAAAAAAAAAATTACAAAACATAAAAAAAAACGTTCGACGATACAAACATGATATTTTTGACAAATTTATAAATAAAGATTTATTACAATATAATAGTCGTTGAAGTTGTTTATATAAATATGAAAAAAAAATCATAATATATTCTTATATTTTTTTTGCCAAATTTTGTAAAACATTATTTAATACAGTATCGTCAATTTCTCGAGAAAATATTTATGGTACGTTTTTAATGGATATAATTGAAAAAATCGAAGTTTATTTCCATCTATTTATGTATCAAATTCTTCGATCACTAATTGTAATGTTTAGTTATAACTTTGCAACCAAAGTTGTTGGTTTTTATCAAATATATACGTTAATTCATACCATTTTTATTTTTATTTTTTATACAATAATACATAAAAGTTGATCTAGATTCGTTAATTATTTATAACAAAGTCATAAAAATATTAAAAAATCACTTTGAATTTTAAAAAAATCAGTTTATTTAGATTTCAGTTTATTTTAGTAGTCCGCAGATGTTAAAAAACAAACAGTCTTCTTTTTTCAGACTGCAGACGTTTGGTCCGCCTCTTCTACTGCAGAGGTCTACAGATGTGGTCCGCAGACTGCAGACATTTTGCCTCAGAAAAAACAAACAGCACCTGAGTCTACAAAGGATTAGCCATGCGGAAATGAAATTCTGGAGTGTCTTTATTATTATTTTTTGTATATAAATTTAAATTAATGATTGCTCATTTATAGTTTTTAATTATGGTTAGTCGTCGTTGACTTTATATAATTTTTAAAAAACAAAAAATATATTGCAAAAATAAATAATTCTGGAATTGCATGAAACATATTAAATCTAGTGCAAAACTAATAATTATAAAAACTTGGATATGTTTAAATAACAATATAACATGCAAATGCACATCTATTTTTGCCGTGTGCCACACGCAAGTTGTGCAGATCTCTTTCGATATGACTTGGCTATGTCTGGTTGCATCCCTGACTAATTGACTAGCAATCAACCTCTTTAGGAATCAACATAAAAAAAATTGCACAATCATTTTACCGTCAAACTGTTGTGATACGTTTGTGTCATTCACAAAGGCGAGTGTGAAACTCTCGAGGTGTATCGCATCAGTTAGTTTGGTACCCCAGTAGTTGATAGCGACTAGGAGTTTGTAGATACATGCTCACATAACTATAAACCAAGATGGAGATTCTAAAAAATAATCATCATCACAGTAGCTATCGTATATAGTGAGAGTAAACATCTGGAAATCTAAAACACCCTAAAACACCCCAAAATCAGTGGGCATTCTGTATATTAATAAGGATGTATAACACAAAAGGTTGGAATTAACTACTCATTAGATAACAGTTTCTTATAAGTGATTGTTACTGTTACTGAAGTGATGTAATTGAAACACAAGTATACCAAAACTCAAACCAAGTTGTGTAAATGGATCCATTAGCCATGTCATACCAATCCTGTAAATCAATATTGAAAGTTGTCGGTATAAATGTCACACTTAACATCATTCATCGTTCAATCTATAAGCAAGGAAATCCAGAGCATGATGTGAAGTCAACCAACACATGTATACAATAGAGTAAGTAACCTAACTGAATGTTTAGTGTGTAATGATAACATACATAAAAAACTTGCATCACACTCCAACCAACCCAAATCAAAGTTCACATATATAGTTATATCATCCAAAACTCCATCCTATAGTTATATCATCCAAAACTCCATCCTTGGTTTATACGTGAGAAACCGATGAACAAAATATAGCGAAACATCTTGGTTTGGGTATAGATTGCCAATGTTATCGTCTATACAACTATTTAAAGGTGTTGAGCATACGATTGCAATGTATTTCCTTTTCATATGTATCCATGGAGACTTCAACCATATGGAAACATAGGTCACTCTCTACGTACGCCTAAGAGCTAATGGTGGCATTTGATAATTTGACTGGGGAAGCTTAATGATCTAAGGCAGCTTTACGGATGCATGTGTAGGTGCACTGTCATATGTATGGAAAACATCTGATTAAGTCCATCATCTCGTAATGGGCTCTCATCTGGTGTGGTAGGGTGCTTTATGAGATTAATGGTGTAACCTTAGAAAAATATAATATTAAGTATAATTAAGTATTTGAACAATACAACAACAAGTAATAGCACATGTTTAATTATGTATGTACCTCAAACCCATGAGTCCAAAATTCATCATCATGTAACGTACCACGGTCCTCTATGATAAATGGGTCTACACGGGTAACCATGTCACCCAACAATTAATAATGTAACAGTTTCATATTATTAAATAATCAACGATGCAATAGCATATATACCATACAGTTAAATAACAATATACGAGGGTTAAATAACAATGTACCTCCAACCCCTGTGTTATCATGTCTGGTACCCTTATTATTAGGATCTACATGTATCCCTAACGCAGAGCATATCATGTACTAGCAACTGCTTTTGACATTCTTGAAGATGCTTTTGTAACTCCATTGTGATTTTGTCCTTATTTATTGTTGGTCCTGGAGGTGGTGGTGGGTCGGGTGGATATGAACCTTTGTTGGCTTCCCGACGTGCCTACTTTTGCGGAGGCTCATAATTAGGTGACATTCCAAGTGAAATTCATGCAGAACTATAAGACCACCAGGCAGTAGGCTGCAACTTCTCTATAAGCTTATTATCCTCCAAACATAATTTTACATCAATTGTTACATGTGTATAGATAGGGGTCATAATGGGATATTTACATAATAATCATATTCGCTCAACATCAACAAACGCATTTCAATGCGTCTTTTGTAACTTCCTACGCTTGGAGCATCGAATATCTCGAGGGATCACATTCCCTTGTCGGGTACCAAACAAAATGTTAACCGGAAAAGTCTCCATAATTCATATATACACCTAGTTTCTAATAAACCGGTTAAACGATAGATTAAACAGACAACTCGAGCACTACTTATTATTTATAAGTGAAAAACAATTTATAATAGAAAATCAAAAACAACGAGATACGAATTCAAAGCAAATTTCAAGTTATTCTGAAAGCTTGCATTTATAAACGTAACATTTCTTTATCCACATAAGCAATTTGCAAAAAAAAGACTCTCTAAGTGTTAGTATTTGTTTTATAGAAAAAGGTTTTGCATTATATCTTAGGGATATATACACTAAAGTCCTAATATTTTCATCAATTTGACAAGAAAGTCCTAAACTTTATTTTTTTTTTACAGTAAAGTCCAAATTACCGGCAGTTTTTGACACTTTTACCCTTTTTCCGGTTAGCCGGTAATTATGATTTTTTTGTCAAAAAAATAAAGTTTAGGACTTTCTTGTCAAATCGTCAATTAGGATTTTACTGTCAAAAAAATAAAGTTTAGGACATTCTTGTCAAATCGTTGAAAATATTGGGACTTTAATAACCCAAGAACTTTTAATTGTGACTTTTGTTGCAGCACCACTGTTTTTCTTACCATCATCATCTTTACTCCGACATAATCACGATCAGCAGAAACATATGCAAAAGAGAGAGCGAAAAAGGGTGAAAAAACTTGTAAAACTTTCTTCTTGCTTCGCCGCCAAATCTTGAACTAAAAAGTGGGGACAGATTATACAAAAGAAACAACACATGCCTAGTCAAAAAGGTGTGAATGTGGAGAAGGGAAAGAAGGGCAATTTCGTTTTTTTTTTCGGTTTCTTATTTCTCCATTCTGGGACTGCAAAAAGCCAACACAACCCTGGTTCTTTCTTTTTTTCTTTCTTAATTATCTCCATTTTTTTAATGTCGGTTTGTTGAAATTAAAAAAACGATTTAACAAGAAGCAAACATTAAGGATTTCAATAGCATCTAGTTGACTAGAGAAGGTTTCAATAACTCTTATGCTTAAAGAGTATCATACCATTAAATTTCTAACCAAAAAAAAGGGATATATACTGCCGGTAATTTAGACTTTACTGTCAAAAAAATGAAGTTTTGGACTTTATTGTTAAATCGATGAAAATATTGGGACTTTAGTGTATATATCCCTATATCTTATGCATGTCGGCAGGAGGGCAAACATTAAAACAAAAGTCTATTTGGTTTTTAAAAGATTTCTTATGTATGCAGGTCGACTAGAGGGCAAACATTATAACAAAAGACTACTTGTTTTTTAAAAGACTGGAGTTATAAAAAGTTCTGCATGACCTATTTTTCTAAAAGACAAAAAAAATAACATTCTTGTTTGGGAAAACATCTTATAAGTTCTAAACCTAATATAATGTTTCTTATTCCACCACCACCTTCGCCGCCGCAACCACCACCATCTTTTCCGCCTCCGCCACTACTGTCGCTTCTGCCACCACCACCTCCCCCATGAAATGAAAATCAGCCTAAGGAAAGGAATCACATTCCACGGAGAATGCTTCAATACCGTTCCTTTGAGTCAACCAAACTCATGGTTGCAGAAATCGGGATTAATCGCTTGGCGTTCTCCAACCGTCAAGGATTATGGTATTAATCGGAATCTAGAATTAATCGAGTTTGGCGGGATTAATCGGTCTTGGCAGGATTAATCGGTCAACAAAAGTCAAAAAATGTTAAAAAGTTTTTAAAAAAAAATCAAAAAATCAACTTTTTTTTTACTCCAAAATTTTCAAATTTTCAAAATTTCAAATATTATACCAAAATGTTCATATTTTCGTATTTTCAAAATTTCAAATTACAAAGTTTTTTATTTTCTAATTTTGAAGTACTTGTTTTTCTTAAGATATATTAATATTTGATTAATTTTAATATTTTATTAATAATCTATGGTCCCCGATTAATCCCCGCCAAGACCGATTAATCATTTAACACCAGTCGACCGTCGAGCGATTTTAACAACCTTGACCAAACCAAATAGGATATTTCCATTCAGTTGAATGCTCCATTTCATTCCCTCTTCGATTACCTCGTACCAAACACTACCTTCAATTATTTTTTAGGGGTAGGTGACAGGGACACCCAATGTCAGTCCTCAATGTCACAACACATAAAAGAAGAACAGATAATAGAAACACTAAAATTTGGATATAGTTGGCTACAAAAAAACACAAAATTAAAAAGCAATTTCAACCGGAATAATACCATCAACAGTTGTATTATTCTTTTGTAAAAAAGAAATCGATTCCATATATGTAAAAAGGGGGCAAATAATCGGGATTTATAAATATCCAAAATACAGATTTCACACTATGAACCTTTTTATTACTATAAGTCTATATAATAACTAGGAGTCACTACTTACAGCGGTTTGTAGTATTTCTAGGGTTTTGGTCCTAAATCCAGAAAGAGCACTCCTCAAAGATGTCATTTCGAAAACCCACCAGCCACCCAGGATTCCAAGAAGGGTATATTTTTGATCTCCTATTTCAACCTTTGCGATACACAACACCGTGTAATCATCAACCTCCACTTTTTTCGCATATAATGACTGCAAAATAGATTCATGGTCAACATGACAGTCCAGAACAGAACAGGTTGTACTTTGTTTGGCAGCCATTCTGGGACTGAGACTAACGTCAATGTCAATGGGACAAAACAAATGTTAAAAAGGTGGGACTACTCGCTCTCAATATTTTTTGTCTATGCAAATTACGTAGATGCCCTTCTCATTCTCAGTGTAACAAACGTGTACTGACCTTGAATTTGTGTAAGAAGGGATGCTGGCCCCTGTATTGTTGTTGCAACTGAAACATTGAGAGAGAATCATAAGTTAGAGCGAATTCACTTTATCTTTTACACAAAATAGCAATGTACTTATATGTTTTCCCATAATAACACGTAGTTATATTTATTAATAGATAATAGCAATGTACTTATATGTTTTCCATCAATTTCCTTTTTTTTTAATAAATTGCATGACTATTCGGAATTTAGGGTTTAGTATGTATACAAAATACCCAATATATTTTTGTAAATTTGTGGTCACGCATATGCTTTTAAAACCCTTGTTCAGATATATTATAAATGCAGCCTTTCATGCAATGATGATTGAGTTATGATGTATCTATACTGACCTGTTCAATGAATACATAAACCGAGAAAGGGCTGGGCTTTGTGCTGAGAAGAGTGAGCACCACTTTAACTCCAAGAGCAACCGGATAATTCCAATTCATCCACACAATTAAGAGTAGAGCAATTGGCACCATCAGCTTCTTTGCAAAAATCATAAAATAATGTGGATTATCATCGCTCTCTGATTCACCCAACATGCCCATGCTATTATGATCATCTACTGAACTCGCATAACCTTCAACATCAAGTATCACACATTTAATATATATATATATATATATATATATATATATATATATATATATATATATATATAATTTAACCCATTCAGGTCTTTCAAATTCTGGCTGCATTTGTTATACGCGACAGGACTGGACAAACTTTTGAGGGGTATTTTTTATGATGAAGATGAGGAGGGCATTCTTGTCTTTTGCACAGTAGAATGTGTTTTGTCATGTTCTATGTAACAAATGGGGCCTTAAAGAACTCAAACAAGAAGAAAATGAGCTCCTTACCATCTACACAGTGTGCAAGGCGTGGCCGAAGGAAGAAAGATCCTAGTACAGCTGATACACCTAATAGCCTCCCGATGCTAAATTCATGACCTGATTATTCCATAGATGAAACTGCTAATTAGCATAGAACAACTCCTTTGGTTCCATCAAAACTTAAATTCAAATTGATAAAAAGATGATAAGCTACAAGAGATGTTATGCCACTGTGAAGTACATTATCTGGATACAGACTGATTAACAATTTATAAAATAACAGGCACATATACAAATAATTTCTCAACGAAAAAGTTAAGCATTACTTCCAGCCTTCAAGATCACATGGCAAATAAGAATCCTTTATTCTGACAAACAATCTTGTATCAAGAACCACAAGCTCCAAAAACGACATAACTAAAAAAAGGCATTTTGAGAAATGTAAAAACATCACATAAAGTTGTTGCATCCCTGTTCTTGAGTTCTAAAGACCAATACATATTAATCCCTTCTATTGAGTTTTAACATAACAATTTAATAAGTTGTACTGCATATGTCCCAAATGAAGAGTCACATTTGACCTTTGAAGGTCAGTTAAGTTCTTTTTTAACTTCACATTTAACAACGTTTGAGAAAAGAATCACAACCATATAACTTGTAGAGTTGTAGATAAAAGGTAATATGTTAAGTTTGAGTTTGGAAGGAAGGTTTAAGGTATTTTGAACATAATTAGTGTAAAAGCAATGCATACTTCACAAAGATGAAAATCACTTCAGTGATTATATATCACTGCCGATTACTACGATATTTAACTTTGGTGATATAATCTCCGAACTTAAACCTAACTGACCTTTTCCAATCACTCTCGATTCATTGTGTTGTAACCAATAATTCAAACAAGCCAAAAGCTTACCTATATTACACGATTTCGTCGTATGAAAATATCTCTGCACGTGCAACTTCCAGTCGATGATCGAGGGACGAGTGCATCGTCCAGATGTTGACTCGAAACTTTCCATCAAGCTCGTGAAAGGTTGAAATTTTACTAAAATTGCAACAAATAGACAAAAACAGCAGATGAATCAACTAAATTGACTACATAGATTCAAATTTTATGTTCAATAACATAAGGCAATATAATACAGAATAAAAATCAATGCCCTACGGGGAATTCGAGGAGGAAGAACTGACGCTAGAGATTTTGTCGTCGTTCCAGCTCTAATTAGCTGAAGAAACCTTATAGTGTGCGCCATCTTTTCCTAAACTACTAGCAGGGCCAAGTAATTTTGCACTGTGTATCATGAATTCATCTCGGCAAAAACATAGAGAATCGCTGAAGACGATAACTGACCTAGCGGTAGCGGCGTTGTGACATGTCATACATGATACAACATCGAGCCTTGACTTGGCCCTCTAGGCTGTAACCGAGTCAATTAGTCATTGTCTTCGGATTTTGGATATTCGTATTTTTTTTATTTGATTTCTAATAAAATCAAGACAAACTTTCGTAAATGGTTTTTTTTGTTTCAAAATTATCAAATTGAGGCTTTAATTATTTTGTCAAAACTATAAGACAATTCGTTATACGTACCACTATTCATTATAGTTGTGGATGTCAAATCATCACCACATGCAACTATTAAAAATTTGGGATACCCACCACCATATTTCTTTTATATTTTTATTATTAAAATTATATATATATATATATATATATATATATATATATATATATATATTAAAATGTAGAGAGATGGAGAAAGGTAGAGAGATAATATAGAGAAATAAAGAGAGAAACAAATTGATCGGGTATGGTGACCCGTGCTCCCCACCAGAAATGATCACGACCACTAGCTACTACAAACACTCGGGATGGTGTTCACATTCGTGGTTAGTGACCACGTAAACCACGAAGAGGCTCGTCCTTGGTATACCAGATGGCCTAAGAGGTCCTTATAGTTTCAGTTTCTATTGTTGTTGGCCTTTTTTAATTTATTTTATATTTGGTGTACGTGTGATATTTTTGGGATCTCACTAAGTGTTGTCTTACAATTGTGGATTTAATTATTTCAGGTACTTTAGATGATTGGGAAAATGCAAATGCGTGATCGTACACATTATCCTATGGATTTTGATATTTTGAGAGATGTATTGATACTCTGATTGTTTAATGTTTTGGGAAAAAAATTATATGAAAAAGGTTTTGAATATCAAAAAATTTTACTATGAGTTTTGGGATGTTACAAGTTGGCATCAGAGCTCTGGTTTGAGAGAATTGGAAGAGTCCAAGTTGAGGTGTATGTCACACCCCCAAACCAAGGATGGCGGACGTCCGGGGGTGGAGGACTTCATATAAAGTATCACAACAACGAGTATAATAGTGCTCAAAGTAAATACAACCATCATAAATATAATTGAAAAGGTTACACCATAGTATATGATTACATGTTTCAAAATCAATTACATTATGATGACAAAATAAACTGTTTGACGCTTTAACGTCCCATCCTCAAAGTGCTGATGTTTTCCTGTTTCACTGATTTCCTGAGAATACAAGTAGTTTTGAAAAGTGTCAACAATTAATTTGGTGAGTTCATAAGAGTTTTGTTGGAGAAAGAAACCGTTTTCCTTGTAAAAGCGACAAAGTATGTTTCCAGAAAATCCAATATTTTCTTTATAAAAGTTATGTAGTCCTAAATCCCAGGACCAAAAATGTGTGTGTGTGTGTGTGTTTTGTACTTAATATGTTCATACTAGTAAGGTGTTTCCAAAGAAAATCCGATATTTTCCTTAAAGAGTGAATCGTAAGTTTCTATATTAATAAATAGTGCATGCTAGAATTTCCTATAGTTTCCTTCTATAATCTCTAAGTGTATATAAGTTGTATAAAATTTAAGTTAAATAAACCGTTGAATATAATGGGTCTGCCCTAGGTCCACAACCAAACAAGGAACATGAGATGAGGCGGGCCCACCAATTCTAAGTCGATCATGACTAAATTTTATATAACTCTAGCATATACACTTAATAATTATGGCTGAAAACTAACAATGCTAGATAGAATGTAGTCTTAAAACCAAAGACCGAGACTATGCTTATCATAATTCATCAAGTAGTGGTAGTGGACATAAACTATACATATCATAATTGTAACACCCAAATTTTTAAAACAATTTTTCACATTTTATAAAACACATTTTCATTCATAATCGTTATAAAAACACCATTGTATCACATAGTCAATCATAACATCATATCCCAAGATCATAATAAAAATATCCCCGTGTGTGTACTGATCAAGCCGGCGCCTTCCCGCGATCCTCGCTGGTACCTGAGACACATAACACAACACTGTAAGCATAAATGCTTAGTGAGTTCCCCAAAATACCACACAACACATATTAGCCACTCGAGGCTATAACTCTGATGACCCTCTGGTCAAGGTGTCTCTGTGGGACCCTCCAGTCCCATAACTCTGTGGGCCCTCTAGCCCTAACTCTGTGGGCCCTCTGGCCCTAACTCTGTGGACCCTCTGGCCCTAACTCTGTGGACCTTCCGGTCCTAACTCTGAAAACTCTGTAACATACATAGCATATAACACATAGAAATCACATCATGCAAAAGCATACAGCATACTCTGTCTCATAGCTCTAATTACCACTCTAGGTAAAGTATAGTGAGAAGACTCACCTCGGGTAATTCGGTAAAGCTCGAACTCTGTAAAATCAGGTCTAGCCTCCGCCTAATCATGTAAAATAAATACTCTCAATCAATACATCTCTCAAGGCTAGACTATTCCTCCTCTTAGTACTCTTAGAAGGGTAAAAGACCATTTTACCCCTCTCATAACTCAAAGGCCCCACTATAGACCAAACCCTAAAAGTCAACCAAAAGTCAACCCTCCGGGTTACGCTGCGCGTACCAGATGTGTACGTTGGGCGTACTCGGCAGTCTCTCAGAATCAGGGAACGCCACCCCGTACGCCGCGCGTATTGGGATTACGCCCGGCGTAAATCCCAGTTTCAGTCCCTTAGCTCTTGAGGTCTTAAACAGTTAAGACTCACGTCCAGCTTTTAGATCTAACCATTTTTAAGCCTCTTAATCCATAAAGTCGATGACTTTAAGCCTTTGCATGGCTGAACAAGTCACTAACACCCAAAATATACCATTTCCTAACACTAGAAAGCCCAATACTCAAGCATGATCTCATATCCACGACCAAGATGGGAACTTTATGGATCTACAACACAAATACCACTGAAATGGGACAGATCTAGGTCCATGGAGCACATTACGCTCATAAAGTCTCCACCTTTGGGACTTTTAACCCTAAAATGGTCCATAAAGCAACAAACCAAATGAAGAGGAAAGTTTTGAACTTTATACCTCCAAATGCAGCTCCTTCCTCTGTAGATCTCAGATCCAAACTTGCACTTCAAACTCTAGTCTCCACAAACTCCTCTCCTTCTTCTTCACTAGCACACCAAGGCACTTTTAGCTCCAAAATCACACACACTCACTAAGAACGATGAAAAGTTCTCTCTTAGGGTTTTACTCACTGCTATGGAGTCTGAGAAATGAGCCTTAGCATCCAATATATAGGGCACAAGTCAGAAATTAGGGTTTGCACCTGGACACATTACGCCCCGCGTAACCCTGAGTACGCCCAGCGTACTCAGGCGAGTCCGCGTCCAAAATAAGCGCATGAGTATGCGCAGCGTACTCATTTGCTACCAATTCCTCTTAAGGGCTTAACTTGACACTTTGAATAAAAGAAAGGCTAAATAGTTGTACCTGAATTTCGGGATGTTACAATTCTCCCCCACTAGAACTAGACTTCGCCCTCTAAGTCTCACTCAACAAATAACTCTGGATACTGCTCGCGCATCTCTAACTCCGGCTCCCAGGTCATTTCAGAACCCTTCCGATGTTGCCACTGGACTTGAACCAATGGCACCTCCTTGTTTCTCAAAGTCTTGATCCTTCGATCCACAATCGCAACCGGTCTCTCAACATAATTCAGGCTCGCATCCACCTGAATGTCCTCTAACGGAACCACTGCCAACTCATCAGCGATACACTTCCTCAACTGAGACACGTGGAAGGTATCGTGAATCTGGCTCAACTCCGTAGGTAGCTCCAAACGATACGCTACCCTGCCCACCCTGGCAGTCACCCTGAAAGGACCAATATACCGAGGTCCCAACTTACCCCTCTTCCTGAATCGGATCACCCCCTTCCAAGGAGATACCTTCAGGAGTACTAAATCACCAACCTGGAATTCAAGCCCCGAGCGACGTCTGTCCGCATAACTCTTCTGGCGGCTCTGAGCGGTCAACAACCTCTGTCTGACCTGCTGAATCTGCTCAGTCGTCTGAAGTACTATCTCTGTACTACCCATTACACGCTGCCCGACCTCACCCCAGCAAATAGGAGTCTAACACCTCCTCCCATACAACAGCTCAAAGGGTGGCATACCGATGCTCGAATGATGGCTGTTGTTATAGGAAAACTCAGCCAAGGGCAAGTATGTGTCCCAACTCCCTCCGAAATCCAACACACATGCCCGAAGCATGTCCTCGAGCGTCTGAATCGTCCGCTCACTCTGCCCATCTGTCTGGGGGTGGTATGCGGTACTAAAATGTAGCCTCGTACCCAACTCCTCATGAAACTTCTTCCAGAATCTGGAAGTGAAACGCACATCTCGATCTGAGACGATCGAGATCGGCACTCCATGTCGTGATACCACCTCCCTCATGTACAACTCTGCCAACCTCTCAGCGGAGGAGCTCTCACTGATAGCAAGGAAGTGAGCGCTCTTCGTCAACCTGTCCACAATCACCCAAATTGCATCGACGCCCCTCGCAGTCCTTGGCAATTTGGTGATAAAATCCATGGTAATCTGTTCCCACTTCCACTCGGGAACCTCCAACGGCTGCAACTTACCATGCGGCCTCTGGTGCTCGGCCTTAACCCTGCGACAGGTCAAGCACCTCTCAACAACCCATGCTACATCCCTCTTCATACAGGGCCACCAATAATCTCTTCTCAGGTCCAAATACATCTTAGTGGCCCCGGGATGGATCAAAAACCTCGATCGGTGTGCCTCCTCCATCAATATGGTACGTGCCCCGCCTACAAATGGCACCCAGATCCGACCCTGGAAGGTCATAAGCCCTCTGCTATCGGTAACAAACTCCGATACATATCCGATAACCCGCTCTCTCTTGCGGTTCTCCGGTCTCACGGCCTCAGCCTGGGCCCCTCGGATGGTGTCCAACACCGAAGTCATCACTGTCAATCTCATACAAACGTCCCGTATCGGGGCGCTCTCCGCCCTACGACTCAGGGCATCGGCTACAACGTTAGCCTTGCCCGGGTGGTACAGGATCTCACAATCGTAATCCTTTACCACGT